CGTGCGATGCACGGAACATATTTATTAAAATAAATACATTAAAATATATATATATATACATATATATATATATATATATATCATAAAAGTAAATGACAAATAAATAACATTATTATTAGATAGTAAAAGTACAATATTATATGGTAAAATTTTGAAAAATTTCTCGATAGACAACATTTTTAGTAGTTTTCTTTGCCCCAATATCGTCCCCCCACATATTAAATATTTAATCCCTGTGGATTAGTGACTCGAGACCCATCAACGTATAATTGACCATGACTAATAAACACGGGTCTTTTCATGTAAAGTCCGACATGGGATAATGACTGCTCTTGACTCTTGTTGATTGTCATTGCGTAAGAAAACATAAGAGTAAATTGTCTACGTTGGAACTTGAAGGGTATTTGAGATCAGATGGAGGTAGGGGAAGTCTTGGTACCAATACCTTATGTCCAACATTTGATCCTGTTAGAATCTTACATTCAAACACATGAGTGAAACGCTTCGATATCACCAAGCGTGTTCCATTACACAGTCCAATCGAATGGTCAATGTTTCTCAACAACATGACATAAGTCTCAACCTTTAAGTGCAATTCATGATTTGGAACACCATGACATTTTATACTATTTAAGAACTCCTGAGTGTGCATGTCATGCAAGAAATCAACACCACCATCGGATTTGAATATGAGAGAACAATACACAGATTTTGAATATGAGATTTATAGCGTGAATTACTCATATTCTGTCCTCGAGTATCTTGGTAAGTTTGGGTGTATTTTGTTAAGCATTCACCAATAATAATGCCTAATTTTTATTGACATTAATATGATTCAAGTATTTTGTTAAGCATTCACAGGCAAAATTTCATAAATGATACACTAAGTTGGCGTTGTCAACAAAACATACATTTTGTTGTCCCTCGCGGAAAGGAAATATTTAGTTGACAATTTGGTCGGAAAAGATACTTTAATCACTCAACCTGGATAAAAAACTGAAGTAGTCGAATTAGATAATGACGTGACATTATAAATTTCTTTAATTTTCTACGTGTTATATACGTGGCGTTATGTGTCATCCTTCTTTCCAGGTACACAACTACGCATACATAAATAAAAATAAAAATTATCCAAAAATAAATAAATAATAAAAACAAATCAGAAAAAATAAAATAATAATAATAATAAATAGAAAAAAAAATCCAAAGAAAAATAAAAAAATAGAAAAAATATATTTCGTTCTATCTTGTCAACTATATTTTAATAAAATATTTAAAAAAATAATATTTTGTTAATATATATTTAAAATATATAGATATTTCGTTAATATTTCATTTCATATAAATATATTTCACTAATATATATTAAAAAATACTAAAAAAGAGAAAAATAAAGTTCATTAATAATAATAATTATATATAATAAATTATACTATCTAATATAATGCTTTACATAATATTTTATTTATTTAATATATATAAGTATATTAAATATAAATATAAATCACAAGTATAAATTTATATTTAAGTAAATAAAAATAAATATTTTTAGATATATATTTTTGAAATAAATTAAAATATATTTTTAATATAAATTTATATTTTGTGATTTATATTTATATTTAATACTTATATATATTAAGTAAATATAATTTATGTAAACTACTATATTAAATAATATAATTAATAATAAATTATATGTAATTATTATTATTAACAAAATATTTTTTAATATATATTCACGAATATATTTATATTTAATGAAATATTAACAAAATATTCTTATTAACGAAATATTAACAAAGTATTTTTTATTTTTTTAATGATTTTTAATATATATATTAACGAAATAATTTTAAAAATATTTTATTAATATATAGTTAAGGAAATAGAACGAAATATATTTTTATTTTATTTTTGGATTTTTTTTATTTTTCTATTATTTTTATTTTTATTTTTTTTGCTGAGGTGTCTTATATTTATTTTTTTTGGATTATTTTATTTTATTTTTATTTATCTATGTGTATTGTGTATTTTGAGATAATGATGTCACATCACGCCACGTATATAACACGTATGAAACTAAAGAAAGTAATAATGTCATTGCCACGTCACTACCTAATCCGACCACGCCAGCTTTTTTATCCAGGTGGGGTGATTAATGTATCTTTTCCGACCAAATCGCCAACTACATGTTTCTTTTCCGCAAGGAACAACAAATATCTATTTTGTTGACAACGCTCAACTTGGTGTATCATTTTTAAAATTTTACCAGCATTCACCATTATCATGTATTCATCTAATAACTTAAATTAAATAGGTTATTCATAATAAATATTCTTTTTAACATGTTTTTGGATCTATGCGTAATGTTAGAATAAACTAAGACGTATGGTGATGTTAGCATAAACTAATAATGTTGCCTTAAAAAACATAATAATGACATATGTAGTGTTCATGATAGTAAATATATTTAAGGTATGAAGTGATTGGAATATGGCTGAGTCGATGCTATATATTTTTAAATATATAGTAAAAGAATATTAATATATTTCCAATCATAATGAATTGAGTAAGTTAACTTATAATTATAATTTTCCATTCCTAAAATTTACCAAAAATAATTGAATACGAATTTAGTTATGTTAATGTATTTTCCATAATTATTTAGCATTCTTAACAAAAATAATTAACCTTATAATTACAATTACCCAACCAAATGTAGAAATGTTGCCAATTATAGTCATTACATATCATCTATATTTAGCAATAAATTCCATCAACTCCCTCTTTATATATATATAGATAGATATAGATGAGATAAATTTTATATCAGGAAATAAAATAAGATGGTCTTGATTTATATTAGACCTCGGAATTAAGAATTACTATCATTACTAAGACTATACATTTAAAAAAATAAAAAATTTATATGTACTGCCATCTTCTCCCATAATCTAATTACATGCACCAAGGAATTAATCCAATTAATAATTAACTACATTGCCATGAAATTTGTATTAATTATATAGCTGTAAATGAGTCAAAGTCGATCTCGAGCTCGAGCTCGTAGAAGTTAACGAGTTATTAAACAAGTTTGACCTTGACTCGACCGAGCTCGTATATAACAAAATTAAAGTTCAAGAAATTACGTAAAAACTCATGTTCATCAAGCTAATGAGCTGAACTCGAGCCTTAACAACTGTTAGTTTCATATGGGAACTGTAAATCATAGTTTTTGCATAACATTTTTATTTAAAACAAAAAAAGAAAAAAAAAATGCTATAAAATTCAGATTGCCATATTTGGTAGTGTTTTAACAGCAGAGGTGATAATAATCGCCACCCCACAACTTCACGTTTGGTTCATATATGGAAAACATGTCGTTTTCTTTGGCCAACTCTCTCTCTCTCTCTCTCTCTCTCTCTCTGTCTCTCTCTCTCTCTGTCTCTGTCTCTCTCTCTCTCTCTCTTTCTGTGTGTGTGCTTTCTCTCTCACACACAAAACACACTCACAATAACACACGCATATGCCAACCTAGCTTACAATCTAAAGCTACCCATTTACAAAGAAAGAAAGAGGTATATATCAGCTATAATGGCTGCTTCATTGAATAAAAGTACAGCCTCGCTCATCATCTAATTAATTAACCTTTCTTTTTTTATTTCTTGGGACTGAATTAATAATAATTAAAAAAAAAAAAACTTTGAAGGGGTTGTTTGGGATTCGTGCAAGTTTTCGGGAAAGCAATTTTTACTCGCCGGAAAATAGCAATTTTTTTTTTTCCGAACAAGCTAATCAAGGTTTGTATGTCTGTGTCTCTGTGTGTGTTTTGTGTGTGTGTGTGTGTGTGTGTGTGTCATAGAGGTGACGATGGGGTCTTAATTAATGTAAGGGGATAAATGTAATAAAATTGCAAAAGGAAGAAAAACATGGGATGGTTCCATTTTTTCAAAGTTTGTTTTTTATTTTTTTAATATTTTTCTATCTTTGCTTTCTTTCTTTCTTTCTTTCTTCTTAGCTTGTTTTTGGAAAATTAGTGTGTGTTTTTGTGTGTGTGTGTGTGTGTGTCTTGGTGAGGGAATATGATATATAGATCTGGTTTTGCTTGTAATAAATTCTTGCTCTCTTGTAATAAAGATTTCTTTTTGGTTTGTTTGTTTGATTTCTTGGGTTTTTTTTTGTTCCCTTTTCATGGTTTTCTTCTTATTCTGTGGACTATAATATATCTCTCCCAAGCAAGAAGCTAAAAATGACTCAAAGTTTGGATCTTTATGTGTTGTTTTTATGACTTATGGCTTGTTTGTGTTGTGTTACTGTTAAAGATCACTTGGCTTGGTTTTGATCTTGGTGGATTTTGAGCTAAGAGCCATGGTTTTTGATTTAGAGCTAATTTGTCTATTGGCTCAAAAATCATTTGATTCTGAAATTCCAAATTCCCTATTTTTCTGTCCTTTTTTTGTTCATGGCTATTGCAAAACACCTAAATAAATGCAGAAAATTTCTTGTATTTTTCTCTTTCTTCTTCTTTTTCTTGATTTTTTTTTTTTTTTTTTCTAATTTACAATCCAGCAGCTTGTCAAAGATTCAAGAAGTGTACTTTGATTCTCTCGATTTCGGTTATATTTCGTATACACTGCTTTACTTTCTTCCGTGTTCGATCGATCATAAATTTTCTGTTCAATTTATACTAATACATATTTTTTTTTTTTTTCTTATACCAAAAAATTGAATCTAAAACTTTTGAATGGAATCCCTTTTTTTTTCTCCTCTAAAAACATGAACTTCTTGAACTGTAAAAAAAATTGTGTGTTGAACACAAAGATGTCAAGATCTACTAATTACTTTCTTTCAGTCCATTTTTCACTAACAAAAAAGTTGGTTCATGTAAGCTGTCTCTTAAATTTGTTCTGAACAAAGGTTTCACCTTATATTCTTTCACTTGAAATTAACAAAACTTTGTTTTCCAATGATATATATATTAGTAGGGTTTTTTCAAAATGGGAAGAGGAAAAATCGAGATCAAGAGGATCGAGAACAACACGAATCGACAGGTCACCTTCTGCAAGCGCCGAAATGGGCTTTTGAAGAAAGCTTATGAGCTTTCAGTTCTCTGTGATGCTGAGGTTGCCTTAATCGTGTTCTCGAGCCGAGGCCGTGTCTATGAGTTTGCCAACAGCAAGTAAATAAATATTCTCACTGCCCCTTTTTTTTCTTGGATCTTTTCATTTTTAATTATTTATGTGCAATTGATCATCTCTTTGCTTTTTTGTCACATGTGTAAGTGTTTGTATCATCAACATATAGATGCATATATATATGTATACACCACTTTCCAGACACAATAATTTGAGTCTACAGAGGAAAAATTGAGTCACTTTATGATTCTTTCACAGTTATGTTGTTTGAGACTGGCAGTTTAGTCCTCCAATGTTTTCTTATTCCAGCATTAATATATATATAAAGCTCTCAATCTTGTTTTGTATTCATGTCTGTTTTGGAGACAGAAAGTCTGTGTCCAGTAGTAGTGATTTGATGTTCTTCAACATTAAGGTTTGACAAATTATTAATAAATTTTGCTTTTGGGTTATTTTGCCTTTCTATATCATGCAAAAGGGGGAGGACAAATGTCAAGGAAAAAAAAAAGAGGGAAGCTTAGTTGCTAAACTATATATGCCTCTAGGGTTTTCTCTTTGGACCATATCCATAAATTAAATATACATTTGCAAGAAAAATAAAATAAAAATAAAAAACTGCATTTTTTTATGGCTAAATTGTAAAATATAGCCCGTATTGTGTACGCGGTGGCAATAATAGCCGCCATCTTTACGAACTGACAATATTAGCCATCAACTTTCAAAATTTTGAGATTATTACTCAAATTCAACTAAATTCGATAGATAAATTGCAAAATATAGTCAGTATCTTTTTACGCAGTGACAACAATAGCCATCGAATTTGATCGGACATGGGTAATAACCCCAAAATTTTTAAAGTTGGCTAATATTGCCATTTCATAAAGATGGTGGCTACTATTACTACCAAATACAAGATGCTGATTATATTTTGCAATTAAACCTTTTTTTTATCTACTTTGATTGCTTCTTGTTCTCTAGATTAAATGAGAAACACACAAAAAAAAAAAAGAAAGTGATTAGTCCATTTTTCTTCTTCAATATGCAAAAACAAGTTATCAACATATATTGTGGAGTACATATATCTAGGGCTCAAATTGGTTCATTCAACTTTCTCCTCTATAATCCCTTTAAGCTTATATATAAATCCCTATATGCATTGAATAAGTTATCTCAAGGGAAAATGCATAATAACTAATCACACTGTCCTTATAGAAATAGAGTTAATAAAAAAAAAACTGAAATATAAATTTTCCCAATTAAACAGAATAACATATATATGTGACATTGTCATGTATGTCTAGTCTGAAAGAACATTGAGTGCTTTAAGGTTGAAGACCACTTCATGTCAGATAACTGTTCATGATCTCTTGAATAATTTATAATTTCCAGTTTGGGCTTTCAAGATTCTCTATGTATGAATTTATAAATTTTATTTTTGTACATGGCCAGATATATATATATATATATATAATAACATTTATTTTTTTATCATCAGGTGCAGTCCCTGCAACTAATATTTATTTCAAATGTACAAATTCCCATTTCTGGCTTTCAAGATTCTCTTGATCAGTAAAAATTAAAAAAAAAAAAAAAATCTATGATAAAGTTTTAGGAAATCTCCAAATTAAATTTTAGGTACTTTCTTGATTGGAGACCTTTTGGGACAATAAAATGAAAAGAACGGTTAAATTTCATTTTTAGTACACCATGTTGGCCATTTTCTGAAAATAGTCCATCATATAGAGCGTCTTTAAGAATGATCCACTAAGTTGTCATTTTAATCAAAACTCGTACAAAAGCCCTTAAATTAATTAATTAGACCTTATCAAATTTTCAAGTGTATTTCAACATGTCTAATTGTATATTTAATTATGTACAGCATCAGATCAACCATTGAAAGGTACAAGAAAGCCACTGCAGACAGTTCAAGTGTGTACACCACTCAAGAAATCAATGCTCAAGTAATTAATTTACACATTTTGATTTAATGAGTACATTTTGCAATTTCTCATGTATCATATGATATGAAAAAAGTGTTTTTTTTTTTTTTTTTGGTAAGAAAATAATCTAAATAGCAAAATTTTAATTTAAATCATAATTTACATCATAATATCATTTTTATTTTTCTTAATTTGTTATTATCACTTTTTTTTATTTTATTTTTTATTATTTGCAGTTTTACCAACAAGAGTCCAAGAAGCTGCGCCAGCAAATACAGATGCTTCAAAACTCCAACAGGTAATCTCTAAATTTTTGAAATTATGACAACATTTGCATGCATATGCATAGGTTGTGTATATAATAGAAGGAATAGATGATGTAATAAAGAAAAACATTAGCAATGCCAAAAAAAGGAAAAAAAAAAAAATAATCATAATTTAATGATTCTGAATACTCTTTTCACATCCACAGACATCTTGTGGGTGAGGGACTGAGCTCTCTAAATGTCAAGGAACTGAAGCAGCTCGAGAGCCGTCTCGAGAGAGGCATCGCTAGAATCAGGGGCAAGAAGGTAAATAAACACGGCCCTCGATCGATTTCTTGTTCAATCCTTACTCAACTGTTTGAACCATAATATATTATTTCCTTTACTCTGCCCAACTTATGGTGCTATTCTTTTTTCCTTTTATTTTTGGTATTGAACAGCATGAAATGATACTAGCTGAGACTGAGAACTTGCAGAAGAGGGTACATTTTTCAAATCTTAATTCTTGATTATTTTTTAGATTATAATTTATCGGTATCATTTTCGACATTTTTACTTGTACAGGAGATTCAGCTGGAGCAGGAAAATTCCTGCCTCAGAGCTAAGGTAACATAATTAACTAATATATGAATTCATATATTGTTTTAATAAACAATCATGTCATACCATGATGATATAATAGTCATTGACCAAAATTTTAACCTTCAATTTATATGTACATTTTTTATTTTTTTTTTCAGATTCAAGAAAACGAAAAGCTTCAAGAACTTAGCATGATGCCATCTGGACAGGAATTTGCCTTGCAGGCTTATTTCGCTCGTAACATGCTTCAGCTCAATATGATGGAGACCGTATCATCCTATCCCGTGCCTGAAAAGAAGGATCTTCATATCGGGTATCGATTTCTTTTTTTCTTTAGTTAAACTGTTCCATATTTTTAAAAATCATAGATATCAACTAAAGCTCTAACCTTTACTTCTCTTCTTTCACACAGCTAATCAGTTCTCATCTGAAGATTCATGCAAGAATCAAAGAAGGCCAAATCCAGATTATCGTTTATTATCACCAGTGTTTGTTTGTTTCGTTCAATAATATGTAGTAGGGACAATTCGTGTCTGTTCTAGTGACGTTATTACACGTTATATATATATCAGACAAGGCTATATATTTGTAATGTGTTTTGTACTAAAAGCTTGCACTTTGTTTCACTTATTATTGAGCAGTCGATTTGCAGAAGGAAACAAGACAAACTTAACGAAAGAAGAGTGATTGTAAGCAACATGAAAATAAAAACATAAATCAACACATTTAAACACCTCACAATGTACTCGAAATGATAATTTTGGTGATTACATAATAATGCAACTCGTTTTTCCAGCTTCATGACGTAACCTCGCGGTCTCTATCATAGCTTTATTCAAATTCTCGTTCGCTTTACGAATTTCTTGAGTTGCCTTTTTGTGAGTGGCTTTGGCTGCCTTTTCTACCTTGAGCCGAGCCGCTTTCTCCTTAGCCAGTTGCTTTTCAAGCTTTTCAGTCTGAACTTTCAGCTTTAGCTCAATCTACATACAAAATAAGATAATTCACAAAAATCACAATCTAATTTTCAATTTGACTAATCCTATGAAATAACATAATATCATTACCATATCTGTCATTCGCTTGAGCTGCTCTTCGTATGACTTCATTTTCTCCTGTTCGGATGAATTGACTTCATCTTGAATACGCAATTTCTCTGTTTCCTTCTGTTAAAAGACCAAAGAGTTGTCCTAAATCAATAAATCTTCACTGACTAACAAGCCAATCCATGATCAAGATAAAAAATAAAAATAAAAAACACTAGCCTGCAGTTTGAAAAGCTCGTGAGTGTACGGTTTGCTGTCATTGTCTTTCACAACATCGTCAACTAGAGCAAAAAGTTTCTCAAGTTGCTCGTTTTTCTTACGTTCGTCTTTTGTCCTGTTATCGAACAGAATGCATCTGTTTCCACACTTTCCGATAATGTCCTAAATGTAAAGTTAATGAATCAACTACATCATGAACTCGAATTCGATATCCAGAATTATAGTATATATACCTTCAAGGGCTCGGGACACTCGTCACGACCCAAGTAATCCTCTAGGGTCTCTTCGCTTTCTTCCAGGTCATCACCTCCAGTAAAAAGTAAAATCATGTAATCAGTAATTTTAGCACCAAACATTTCAATCATGTTCGCTATAACAGCTTCTTCTTCGCGCGAAAAACGGGCCCTTACGGACAGGACAAACAGAACCGCATGGATACCATCTTTAGCCATTTCCACGCATTTCACAATTTCTTTCTTTATATGATCTTCACCCGAAAAATCAAATAGCCCTGAAAAAAGAAAAGGAAAAATTTTGCAGTATAATTCGACGAACAACAGCAAATCAATCACTTTATGCTCTCACACATTTTACAACTCAATCCATGTAATTAAAAATAAAAAACAAGTTGGCTGCATATACATTACGAAACGAATGTTCGATTATTTGCATTTGTACCGGGAGTGTCGATTACGTAAAGAAACTGGCGTCGATTTTCAAGAGTGGTCGTTTGCAGCTGACAAGTGGCAGTAACACTGCCTGAGCTAGACTTGGACTTAAACGCCCTTGTCCCGAGTAAACTATTCCCGGTCGAGCTTTTGCCATTGCCCGTCTTGCCGACTAAAACGATTGTTCGTGCCTCGTTCATAGTCGATGGAAACTGATCAGCTTCAAATAACACTTTAAAATAACACTAATCAGCTTCAAATACTAATTCATCTTAGACAAGAGTGTAGTACAAATGTACAAATATATAAATGTAACATAAGCTAAAAGAAAATATGAAGCTGAGAGGAGATCATATATGTATAGTTTCATAGTACTTCAAAAATTGTGAAAAGCTCAAAACTCAAAAATGCATGCAAATAATTAAAAATTATAAGAACACATGAAATGAATGAAGGCAATGTGTTGAAATTAAGGTAAGGTACTAAGGTGCAATTGACCTTCTCAAAGCTAATGACTGAATTAATGAACAAGCACTTTGGAAAAAAAGAGGATTATATTCTTCTATAAGCAAGTAATTAAAGTTAGTTCTGTATGTATATATATGTGTGTGTGTGTGTGTGTGTGTGTGTGTGTGTAGTGGAATATGAGACGAATATTGTTTTGTTTTTATATATTATTTTTTTTAAAAAAAAAATGGATAATGATTTTATGAATCAATTATGATAGGAGAAGAAGATGAAAAGATTGCTCATAAATAAAGATAAATTAATCCTTTCTTGAGAATACCAAAAGATAAACTTCTTTAATGGTTATTTTTATTAATTTCTTTCATAAAGGGAGTATGTGTTAACCTGTTCATATAATAAACCTAAATGACTATTGGGCCCAGGACATAAATTTCACGCTATTTCGTCTTGTTTTCGCTGCCTCAAGCCCATACTTGGCATCATCAAAATCAAACTTACTTTCAATTAAAATTAGTACGTTATCCGCGCGTTGCGCGGCTTAATATTAAAAATGGTGTGAATGAATGAAAATTTAATAAAAAATATTTTTTAAAAATTTATTGAGATAATGTAGAATAATTTTTTTGTTAATCCATTTAAAAATACTTCCACAAATACAATATCAATAGAAAGTGAATTGTGTATCACCACAAAAATATTTTTTATTTCACTCTATTTTTATTTTATTTATTATTTAAAAAATATATAATAAAATAAAATAAACAAAGTGTGAAAATTGGAGGTCTAAGTTCACATTTTTGTTAAAAAAGAATGACACGTTGTCTTGACTAACTCTTACTTCATCTCACATAAGAGTTTGTGAATGATCAGATATTTTACAATTTAAATTACTTGTTTTGGAATGATGTACTCAATACAAATAAATTAATGATCACTTGTAATTTCTTAAAATTATATAAAGATATAAAATTATACAATATTAGATTAATAAGAGATGATTACATGTTTTCTTAATGTGTATGTAAATTCCATCAATATAGAGTATATGTTTCAAATGTGGTATGGTACTACTATTAAATATTTTTATGAAAACATATGTTACATATAGATATCATATTAGTTATTATTTTTTCTATTTTACCTTGAAATATACCCAATATAACCGAAAACATAATATTGTGTTTGATGTTCCAATAAAAAATAATAACTAAATAAAATATTTGACTTGAACTTTTATTTTAGTGATTAATTAAATAAGATTGATAATTTATTATTATAAAAAATATTATAAAAGGAACAGAACTCATACTCACAAATTGTAAGTGAGACAAATAATAAGTGAGATATTGAGATGAGAATGCATAATAAATAATTATGTATAATATTAAATATTATTTGTAACAATAAGTGATTATAAATATTATATAATTGGGATTTGTATAATAATTGATTATGACTAAAATAAGTATTACTTGTAACACATATTTATGTTATTGTTTGAATGGTAAATAATACATAGAAATTAACAAAATTTATTTCATGGTAACAGATGTAGTTAAAGCATTTATTTAGTCAAGAAAAATTGGAGTGCGAATTCCAATACATTTAAAATATAAATTAATTGTTTATATGACATAAATATTTTTTTTGATAAATCATGCATAGAAATTGATAAAAGTTATTACAATGTATTAAATGTAGTTTTTGGGGGAAAATTTTGAGTTGCTTTGCTTTAATATATACTATCTTCTATTTTTAATATATGTCGTTTTGAAAAGTTTCACACTAATTAAGAATATTTTTTTTGTCAATAATAACTTTATTTAATGAAGATAGAGATGAATGTTTTGAGAAAAAAGTGAAGAGTGTATGAAAAGACGTAATGTATTTATTGATTAAATGAGGGTAATAATGGAAAAATATGTACAAAATATCCAAAACGACATTTATTTGACAAATAGTTGAAAAAGTTAAAATAACATTTAAAAAAAAATAGGAGGGAGTATATAGATTTATTGTTATTCCCATAAATATAATTGTAAAATAAATTATTTTGAACGGTTTAATTTTTGCTAAAATATAAATAAATTGCCTTATAATGTGGCAAGTAGGGGCAGTAGCTAGCTAAAAGTTCGTTATTTCAGCAGCCAAAGTGGCCAGTCTATCTGGTTATCTACCACTTATATTTAGCCACGTTTAAAACAGGTTTGGCAAATCGACCAACTAAAATCAACTCAAAAAGGTGTATTTTTTAAGCTAAAAATTTTAATATGTTCGAGTACAATGATTTAATATATATATATATATATATATATATATATATATATATATATTCACTTTTATTATTATGTAATTTTTAATAAAAATTTTAAAATAACAAATACATATATTTTTTATTCTTAAATTTTTCAATTTTCGAGCTCAAACAAATCGAATTCGAGTTAATTTAACAACCTCAACAATTTTGCCTACTAAATTATTGGAACACGTACGAATTCGAAGTTTGACAAAAAAAACTTCACGAATGAGCTAAGACATTAATTTTACATATACAAATAAAAAATGTGAGATCTAAATAAAAACGAACTTCAAATGTGCAAATCCGACCACAAATATTTCAAAATCGATGTACCAAAAAAAAAGAAAAAAAATCTAAATCAATTACCATAATATAGCGGATTTGACGGGTCAAACCTCTCAATTAAGTCCAATTCGCTAATTTATCTTCAACCCGTTATCTTCTAAACGGGGCCAATATGAGGTCAAGGTGAATAAACGTGTTTTCATGTGGATCTTTCTAATTTCCGCATGCTTCCTTCCTTTTATTCCTTTTTTCTTCGGTCAACAATTGAAATTACACCAACTTTTTCAGTATCACACGTACATTTTAAGCAAAAAATTAATAATCGCCAAAACCATCTGAGCTCCAAAGCAAAAGGCCAAAAAAGCCGGAAAAAAAAAAAAAAAAAAAAATCCGACGAAAATGGGCAGCGAAGGAAGGCAAAATGGCACCGGCGAGAGGAAACTGAGGCTGTTATGCCTCCACGGATTTCGGACCAGCGGCGAAATTATCAAGAAACAGGTCACCGGAAAATGGCCGGAATCTGTGCTCGAAAAATTGGATCTTTTCTTCGTCGACGCCCCTTTTCCTTGCCGGGGCAAATCTGACGTCGAGGGGATCTTCGATCCACCTTATTATGAGTGGTTTCAGTTCAACAAGGTCCCATTTTTGGCCTTTTTTTCTGTTGACGATTTTTTCAATTTATTTTAATTATTTCCTTTACACATCTTGAGCTTTTTTCGTGTGTGTTTTTTTGGCTTGTTGGTTGGCTCAGGAATTTTTGGAATATGAGAATTTTGACGAGTGCCTTGCTTACATAGAAAATTGCATGATCAAGAACGGCCCTTTTGATGGCCTTCTTGGTTTTTCACAGGTACATTTATGCATTTTTAATCATTCCTATGCTTTTATTGTTCTTACATATTCTTTTGTCGGTTTTACTGTGGAGCCAACGGATGGCTCGGCTTATGGACCGTCTATAGAGCCATCGAATTCATTGGACACGTGTCATCGCATAAAGTAATGGATGGCTCCATAAGGGACTCTATAGAATTTTTGGTTCTTTTGTATGAGTCCGGCTATCCATTAAGGTCATATACAATTTTAATAAAAATGCTTGCTTTTTGCTTGTGGGTATATGTAAGGGAGTGTTTAAGGGACTAATATAAAAGTGATTCTTAACTTCGGATTATAAAAATCGAGCATTTCTTCTTACAAAACATAAGAATCACTCCTTTTCTTTTTCAGAGATTGCTAGTCTGCTTGTATTTACAGTCTGTGCTTCAATTTGGTATTAAAAGTTAGTTACATGTAACATTATATTTATATAACTGTCGGTTTAATTTGGGTTCGATTTTCATACAACTCAGGGAGCAATTTTATCAGCTGCCTTGCCTGGACTACAAGCCAAAGTAAGTCGTGGCTTCCTTCATTTTTGGATGTGGCTAGTTTTTTTTCTTACTCGGGCCACTTAGCAGAAGAAAGAAAAAAGATTAGTTGTTTAGTTCTTTAATTGTTAAGATGATCTAAATGGTTTAAATTTTGTAGGGTGTGGCTCTTACAAGAGTGCCAAAGATAAAAGTCGTGATAATAATCGGTGGTGCGAAATTTAAAAGTCCATCGATTGCTGATAAGGCTTATTCGTCATTAATTCACTGCCCATCCGTTCATTTCTTAGGTAATTGTTTCCTCTTAAGATTCGCGCTCGATTTTTTTGATGTGGATTTTTCCTTTCAATGGTATCTATGTGGTGCAATGGCAGTGTTAGGATCCATTGGCTAAGGACCAGTAGTTTTTCAGTTTTTAAATCTCAACCATTGACATGGATTGTTAGTCAAAATGGACCAGAAATTTGTTAGAAGGAAAAAAATTGCTGCCATGGTTTGTAAGTATTTATCAATTTTAGAAAATTCTGCACCATAAAACAGGGGATCAAGATTTCTTGAAGCAATATGGCACCGAACTTTTGGATTCGTTTGTAGATCCTCTTGTGATTCGGCATCCTAAAGGCCACACGATACCGAGATTTGGTAATTCGATCAAACCTTTATCTCTTATTGGCTAAATGTCTTTGTTGTCTAGTGTTTAGACAACTGAATCGAATTGGACTTTGTCCTTTTTTTTTTTTCTTTGGCAGATGAAAATGGATTGGAGAGCATGGTGAGCTTTATTGAGAAGATGCTAAAGAATGTCAAAGAGGAGGAGGAACAAAAAATTTGCTTAGAAGTTGCTGCTTAGTGATGAGGGGATCTGAATATACTGGGCCGGGCCGGGCCGGGCCATTGTGCAGCATTTCTTTAGCTTCGGCTGGGCTGTGCTAAATGGGCAATAGTTTCACTTCTGTTTTGAATTGTAATTGTTGAAAGCAAATTAGGTTACATTTTACTTTCGGTTTGTCTTGTGTTAGGTCAGTCTATCTATCATACCGACGATGTACTACATTTTACAAATATGCATACTTTTAGTTGAAGATCTAATACTTTTAAAAATTAAATAAACAGACGTGTGACGTTCGATAGTATGACAATGAATTTTTGTTCAAATAGTATGCTGGATTGGCCCGTTGATCGGATAGTATGACTATGAATTTTTGTTCAAATAGTACGATGGGTTGGCCCGTTGATCGGCCAGGCTGCCTCATATTAGAATTTGTGTTATTTTTGTCAGATATATTTAATTAGGGAAAAAGAAAAAAAAAAAAAAACAAAGTTTGTGAATTTTTTTAGTTGAATTTGAAAGCAAGATGCAGCTTTTGGGGGTAAAAAGGTGTGCATTTGAGGCAAACATTGCCCAAAGAAAATCTTTCAACAAAACACTTCCCCTAACACATCATTCATACACCCTTAATTAAGAAAGCAAGAACAAGAAGCAACAAAAATGAAAAGATAAAGTGGCAATCAACTTAATTAAGAAAAATCTCATCATTTTTCTGTATGCATATCAAACACTTCACCTTACACATCAATTATCATACATTCTAACTGTATCTAAGAATTCTTCTTGAACAAGAATAATAATAAAAAAAAAAAAAAAAACGAAGGCAAACCCTATGTAATTTGAGCTATCTCGAGCAAGATTTTATGCAACGACTGAGGCTTGGAGAAGAAAGGGCAATGATCACTGCTTTTGATCTTAAAGACACCTTCGGGTGGATTTTCTCTCACGAGCTTTTCTTGAACATCCGGTGAAAGAGCATTGTCATCCAATGTCTGAATATAGAATCTTCGCCCTTTTCCATATTTTTCGGCCGATAAAGATACTTTCTCCATCATTGGGCCGAGTGGGATTGGTCTCATAGAAACCATTGCTAGAGCAACATCCTTGAACAAACAAGATAATAAATTTTGTGTAGTTTTTTTCATGTGGCATAAAGTATAAAGGATAAAAATCATTTCAAGAGGTTTTTAAAAATCACGAATTTTATATTCTAAGCCTTAACCGAGGGTTTGCATTTGTAGTTATTCTTAACTTTCATTGTTCTTGATTCCTCATATCAGCATGGATAAATAAACTGAACATATAACTAAAACAAGCACACAAAAATACTTACCTTTGCAGGAGACTGATTGAAATATAATCCATGCAAATGCTGCTTCTCAAACATGAATTCCGTGGGAGGTTTGTCTTTACCGTTGCCATAGATTAGAGATTTCGAATCTGCCGAAAAAAGTTCAGCAGAACCAAGCTGCCAAAAAAAAATAAATTTAAAGGCCAATTGCAGAATATAAAAACTGGTTCTACTTACATGCATCGAGATTTAAGTTCAGTTCGATTAATTGCACGCAAAATTCAAGTTTAGATGAAAACGAACCTCCTCAGCAAACACATCAAAAGGTCTCTGCCCATCAGACACCATTGTGCCACAGAGATAAACGGCTTTCGATATCTTATCGGGAAAATGTTCCAATGCATGTGAGATGCAAGCACCCCCAGTACTGTGACCAACCAAAATTACCTTGAAAAAAAAAAGAAAAAAAAAAACTTCAAAATACTACATTTGAAAAAAAAAAAAAAAAAAATATTAGAGGGGGCTCATTCGTAATTTTAAATGCATAACCTTTACCTTCTCGTCCTCTGGCAATTTCTCCAGATAATCGATCAATGGTTTTGAGTACTCGGCCATAGTAGTCACGTTTTTAGTATCCGTTAAGTCAATGCCGGACCCGGTCAGGTCAAAGGCAATAGGAAGGAGTCCATTTTCCTCAAGTAGTGCAATAGTTTTGTACCAACACCAAGCCCCGAAACCTTCGCCGTGTACCAAAACAAATTTCTTCATCTTTATATTCTCCAAGAACTCTGGCAACTATAAAAAAGATATAAGGTGTGTTATATATAACAAGTTAAACACTATTTATTGCATGAACATATTAATTACTACTTCATTATAAAAGTGGTCAAAGAAAATGACACAGTAATGATACTGATTTATATATTTGTACACACACACACACAATCACACTACAAATGGTATTGAATAGATCTTCCTTCTGCAACAAACCGATATCCATTTTCGAATGCCGGAGTATAATCTGTATGAAGCATTAGTTTTTCACTAGAAAGTCACAAAAGTGACTCCTCAAGGTCTCAAAGAATATATCTTTTTCCCCCTAAACAAAATCCACCTTTTATCTCCACTTTTTTCGCAGCATTAAGAAACCTGAGTAGACTTTACCAACAGATAGCTCAAAATTATATAGAAGCAAGCTTGTGTTAGGCTGATGTAGTCTTTTGCAAATGTGCATACTTTCTTCTCTAAAACATGTCATACTTTAGAAAAGAAAATATGACATTTGATAGTATGAATATAACTATGCAACTTGGTTCAAATCGTACGACGGGTCAACCCGCCTAACGATTAGGTTGTCTTACACTATAATTTGTAACAAGTAATAAACACAAACCACACTACCTTTTTCCTACCCTCAAGAAGTCTGAACTCCTACAGAGAGAACTATTTATCACTTTAGACTTTATTGAGAGCAATGATTACATAACTTTGGACAAATTTAAAAATAATTCCAAAAAACAATCCATATAATATAGTTTTTTTATGTTTTAAATTTGCATAATAAATCAACAAGACTATATGTTTGTGAAACGAGGTGATAAATTATAGGAAAATGCTAAGGTTCCGTTACAGGATGGTTCCGTCAGTGTTTTTCACCATTAGATACAAATATAGATTATGTTGTGTGGTTTATCTACGGTAACCAACACTGACGGAACCATTCCGTCACGGGAACTGTAGTAGTTCCCTAAATTATAACCAAAAAGGCAAAACCAAAAAGGCAAAAACCGTGAAAAAGAGAACCTTTTTCAATTTTCACTTTAGGATACCTCTTTAGATCCCACTAATCATTATACACATGAACGTAATAATCAAAGCACAAACTTTTCATACACAGGATAAAATCATAGTGTCCACACAAACACATACCCAGCTAAAGCAGCGAAAGTGAAGTTTGCACAAACTTAAAAGATAAACAAATAGGAAAAAAAAAAAATCACCTGTTTAACATTATTAATTGTACTTCCAAAAGGGTCCGATAAGCTGGCGGCCCGGCGGCGGGAGGAGTTGGATCCGACCCGGCGGGACATCGACCCGTTTTCGAACCTCTGCGAAAGCTGGTGCTGTTGAATCGCCATGGCCAGAGCTTGCTTGTGCAGTAATTCTTCTTCCATTGAGCTCTTTCTCCTCGAAATCGAGCCCCTTTTGATCTTTGACACAATCCCTCCATTCTTGTTGTCTTTCTTAGACATACACGTGAATCTGTTGCCCATTTTTTTCACCAAGATTGAATTTTTATCAAAGCCCAGAGATTATTTTCTTCAACAGACGCCAAAACAAATGTGGGTTTTTTGCTTTTGGGGAGGAATTGGCACATCAGGGTTTAGAGAGAGAAAGTGTGGATTGGTGTAATTTTGGCGGTGGTCGAAAAAGGAACAGGTAATGAATGTGAGATGATGTGGGAAACAAATAATCTTTTTTTTTTCAAAGTTGATTTTGCTCTCTCTCTCTCTCTCTCTCTCAACTGGAAATTAAGCAACAACCAGAATTTATTGCAATCTTTTTCAACTTTGTTTTGATATCTCTCTCGCTCTCTCTCTCTCTCTCTCTCTCTCTCTCTTGATTTCTTTACTTTTATCACTTTGTTGCTTCGAGTGTTCTTCAACTCGTTTTTGGGTGGAAATGTTGTTGGAAACTGGAAACCTGCTTGGAGGTTTGTCATTTGTGGTGTTAAGTAAAGATTAGTTAAGAGATTTTATTTTATTTTATTTTATTTTTGGGATATAAATTAAATAAAGTTGGACCATTTTTGCAAATTTGTTGGCATTGGTATGATTTGGAGTGTGTTTAGTCAAAGAATGGTTTATTATTTTGTGGCCCAGAGACAACTAATTAATTTGATTAATGTTGTGTACACATAATAATTTGACCATAATTCATTGCAATAATATATTATATACAATATTAAATACAATTTGCTAAAATAAAAATAAAAATTCGAAACAAAAATAGAATTAAAGAACCCAACAAAACGTGTCCATCAAATATAATGTCACACCACTACAATTTATCTACTTAATTACAGAATTTTGCTTTATTAAATTTAAATCCTGTCAATTCTTCACGAGATGGTCATTAAAGCTGTTGAATTATAAAATGATTTACGGCCGAACAAAAGAACAAAAAGGACCATCGTAGTATAAACATGTATTCCCAAAATTCTGCATGTTATGTTTGAATAGAAAATTATATTATTTATTTTTCTTATCAATCATAGAAAAGTAAATATGACAGCTGCTAAGTTTGGTGCACTCATTATTGTGTGATTCTGTTTCTCCAAACCCACATTAAAAAAAGAACATATAATCTCAATAACAATCTGTAGTTATTACTATGTAACTACTCAAGATTCTGTATATTATCAAGTTTAAGGGAGAGGGAGAGAGAGAGAGAGAGAGAGAGAGAGAGAGAGAGAGAGAGAGAGAGAGAGAGAGAGCTGAAAACTGTATATACAAAACAGTAGCTTTTTTCCATACAGCACAAGTTTCTTACATTTACAACACAAAGCTAAATTCATGCAAATACGTACATACAGATGATGAGATACACAAAATAGTACCGTAAATACGAACAAGAAGCTGCTGTTACTGTTGCAGATCCATTTGCTTAGCATCTTTCAAAAATTCTGTAGAGTTTCTCCAAAGAAGCAACCTACACAAAGTCAAAATTCCACTTGGAAACTAAACTCAACTCGGCATGTACAGCGATGGGTTATAGTAAGTACGAAAGAAAAATAGTCACAGCGAAGATATTAAAAAAAAA